AAATTAAACTTTTGATAAACTTCTCAGGGAATTGAGGGTTTTCTCTTGAAGTAGTATCAATCCAAAAGGTTCTTGGTAGTCACTTCAGTGTGGCACTGATGCCACATAATGGTGTTTGATATACTTCTTTTTGTACTTTGTACTACAGTTCGTTAACACTTCCTACTTTTTTGAGTCATGCCTTTTTTAAGTGTAAAGAAATTGATTTCCTGAATCTCATTCGGTTGGAACTGGATTAGAAGATATCCCCGAATCGGAAACTAAAAAAATGATTGCTAAGATTCCAAAAGTTCTTTAACCGAAAGACCAAGGATGTTATTGTTCGTGTATTTAAGTATGTTTCCGTATACATTCAGCAAAATATTTTTAGGAACAAGCCAAGAAGTTTTTTTTTTGGAATCCCCTAAAAAAATGTTAACAATAGCTTGCGTTATTTAAGCGGCTATGGTGTTCTGATTAGGAAATCCTAGTAGGCCTTCACTTTTACGGCGATGTATAGATATTTTCACGAAAAAGTAACAAGTAAAAGAAGCTTCCAAACCTACATACATTGTAAGGTATATATATGAACTCTAAGATCTTAGAAACTACAAGAAGTAGAGGTCTGAGATTTTGTAATTAACTTCCTTAGCTTCTGATTGGGGGCAAGTTTGTTATCCGAATGTGCCGCGCCCACTCTAACGCCCACAAGCCGCCTGTGGCGCCCAAAATTAGTTGAATAACGGGTAACTGATAGTCGAGTCACTCGACTGTAGCGTTCTCTTTTGCTTAACTTTATGGTTAGGAAAGTCACTGTCTTCTAAAATCAATCCAATTACTTGTAGAAATATTATACATCCGTTGTATACAACCTGCTGCTGTAAATATTTCCATTGTACTAGCTGCCTAGTCTTTTGGTCAGGTCGTATGTGAGTATGAGTATGAAGGTCCGTCAGATATTTTCTAGAACTTACGATAGGCTACGGTGTGTTCTTGGTGGACTTCCCAATTTTTCAGCCAGACGATACGCACTTTTGGCCTGCTCCACCGTCCCCCATCCGGATGCGTGTTTCCCACTTAGTTTGCGTCCATATGTCCGTATTTTGGTGTCCGTACTCGCGTTTTTGTCCGTAGCACGGCTTGCACTTTTGCTGCTCCATTTCCTTTGGTTTTTGGGTTTTTTCTCCCAGTCACCAGCAATTATTGATTGCTTTTTGTGGGGTTTTCTTGGGTCCAGTTCGGTTCGGTTCGGTTTGGTTCAGTACTGTTTGGTTTGGTTTAGTTGGGTTCGCATTGGTTTCGATTCGGTTTCCTTGGCTGTCCTTGACTTTTGCCTGGCTCGCACTTTGCGAACACTTTTTGGCAGCCTCATTGCCATCGACCCCCCGCTTTTCCGACTTCCCCGCCTTGTTATTGTTGGCTGACCAAGTTGTGTGAGAATTTGGAAATAGTTTGCTTTCTTTAGCTTTCTTTTTTATTGTTTCTTTTTTTTTTGCACGTTTTGGCCGAGTGACTTCTCTTTGTGTATTTGTCCTGGGGACAAGGTGGAAGGTGGGGAATAGTCAGCTTTAAGGCAGTTTTTCGGCTTTGTTTCGCCTGCAGTAAACATTTCATGTTGTTGTTGATTGTTTGAGGGTCGAATCCGACTTTAAACGGTGGGCGGGACGGTTGCGGGGGCGTGTGCCTTTGTCTATTTTGGAAACTCTTGCAGAACTGTAAAAGAAATTCCCAGCCGAGTTCAACCAAACTACGAGTAAAACGCCAATCGCACAGTCTGTTGCCAAAGTCAGTGCTCCATGGGAGGCAAAACTAAGCATAAACAAGTACATCTTCTGGCTATAATTGCCCTCACAATAAACACCAGTTCTCAGCCCTTGCCCTTTTATGGCGAGACAAACTACTTTGATCATTTTCTTTATTACTCAAAGAGCTTTTTTATTATGTTTTTTTTACGTTTCGCAAAATATAAATAGGGCACATAGGGAAAATACGCATGGTGTCATGGACCAATAAAAAACCTATCGAGTTTGTATACAAGTAAATAATAAAAAATCCATTAACAAAAAGTCTTTAGGTATCCGAAAAACAAATTGTATTAAAGTTTAGTTTTTACCTCAAGAACAATTTCAATAAGATTAAGTGAATAACAAAACAAGAAGGAATGCTATAGTCGAATGCCTCGACTATCATATACCCATTACTCCAACTTCAAAATAAATATACCTTCGATTAGAGGCAAAGAAACATTGATGTTTACATTTTTGACTACTTTGTATTTTTACAACTTACACTTTTGCTTTTTGCTAGAAACAGGCAAAGGGTCATAACTTCACAAATTATGGTCCGATTTTAACAACGGGTTATCGGTAGGTATTGACAATAAAATAACATTTATTTTAAGGAAAAAGCTTCGAAAAAATGGGTTCTACAAACTTGTGTGATATGTGGGCTTTACAGCGGGCGTGACACCCTGCTGAAATAAACTTGTACTTCGCAAGAATCTCTAGAAGCAGCATGGCAAATACCAACTTTTTAGATATTTTAAATTTCCAAAATCTCTATGACATAAAGGAAATAAAATTTATATACAAATTGTATTAAAGTTGAGTTCTTACTTCAAGACAAACCTCTAGAATCAGCATGGGTAACCCCAGCTTTTCAGCTTTTTTTAATTTCCGAGATCTTTCACTATGACAAACAGGTAATAAAATAAATAAAAAAAATGTACAAGAGTGTAATTTTTACTGTAAGATAAATTATGGATAAGTTTTTGCGAAAATTAGGTTCAAATGCATTTAAATAGTCTAAAACAAATTTTACAAACTTAATTTTCAATTTAAAGGACAATATGGTGCTATTTCGACTTCGAGAGGATGTAGTATTTACCGCGTGAAGAGGATATGGTATTTGCCACGTGAAGATTTTTCTTCCCAGCACTGTACATTTCAAACTTTGTGCGCTCTGACTTGCAACTTTTTCGTGTTTTGTGGCTCTCCTTTTTGGCTGTTTTGGTGTTTTTTATTCTCAAAGACATATGCCGCTGCTGCAGGACTCGTAGATAAATTTTTTCTTTGGTTTCGGTTTGCGCTCTTTTAGTTTTTTTTTACTTTTGCTGCGCAAAGAAAGGTTCAGCTGTGTATGAGTGAGGCAACTTTATGAATACATATATTTATATATACCGACGTTCATTTATGCACGGTTCTGCCCTTTCGCATTTTGTATTAAAAATTTAGAAAAAAAGGAACTAGAAACGAAAAGTTTTTGCTAAAGTTGCCCCGGGTCACACGTGTGCTGTCGCTATTGCCCCTAAACCCCCCTCCCTGCCGCTGCCTTTATTATTATTTATTTCATTATATATTTGCCCATTTCGTGTGCGAGATTTAGCTTTCTCTTTTTTTCCTTGCTAATTATTAAGCTCATTTTGCAGGCTCTCTGTATGCACACGTGTGAGTGTGTGTGTGCGTTTGTATGTGCACTCAGAAAAAAAATCCAGTATTTCGTGCTTGAAGCAAGCATTTTCGGTGTCAAAACTTCGCCAAGCATGGAAAATACAGAACCCGAGAACAAAATACTACTTTCGAGCACGAATTTTCAAGACCGAAAATACTAGATTTAAGAACCTTTTGGTCTTCAATCAAGTATGAATAATTCTTAAATCAAGTCATATTTGGACTAAAAACAATAACGATTTAATAATAAAGTAAGAAAGTTGCAGGTATGATTTAAGGACGAATAATTCTTAAATCAATATATAAATATTATGAAATTAAAATGTGTTTTTAATTTGTGCTAGTAAGAGAAATAAGTATTGGAAACTGAAACGAAATAAACGAGATATATATAAATTGTATTAATATTTTAGGTTTACTTACGACTTGCCGCTCACGGGCATTAACACTGTCTAATTTATGCGCCTTATATACCGAGTACTTTCAGAATAAACAGTTGGGAATTATTTGAGTTGGCAGACATTAAAATTACAGAAAGTGCTCAATATGTACGAATGTTCTTAAATGGTAAGCACGCAATTTTTCTTAATTCAAGGCTGCTTGTACTTGTATTTAGCACGGTGTTTTTCCCTGAGTGTGGGTGTGTGAGTGTGGGTAAGGGCCCCTAAAAGTATGCAGTGTAACCGGGAGACGGCTGTCCCATAAATCTGCCTGCGCATGTGTACAAATGTCCAAACAATTCGCACAAAACAAATTCATTTGGCGCCCAAATGGGCGGTGAGGCGATAGCGGGGGCGTGGCCATCCCACAGGCATCATTTGTATTGCATAATTACCCATTTGCACACACAGAGCAGGAATAATTAATATAATCGAGGGGAGCTCTTTCAACCCAAAGAAAACTCTTTAACTGCGAGTAAATGATTTTTAGGAAAAATCTGAAATTCTGAAGTTCTTTTATTGCAGCCCTGAATATGATGTCAAAGCCGATGTTCTACACAGGTAAAAAACTGTCCTTCCTTAAGGATAAAGTTCGGTTTATAATGATCTTATTTTGTATTATTTTCTCAAACATAAATACTACCTTGGGTATTTAAAAAGAAATGAAGCTACTTCGTCAAACATAAGTTTATATACCCCTTCTAGTCGTTTTTATGGATGCAATGTATATTCAGAGTCTTCCGATTTTTAGGAACCTAAAAAGAATTACAGATATATTAATATAATGTTCCATATCAATTTACTAGCGTATAAGTTTTGCGAAGAACAAGAAGAAAGAAAGAAATTTTGCATTTTCGATCATTCTTATGGCAGCTATATGATATACAAATCCGATTTTTATCAAAAAGAATTCGTAGTTCTGAAACATTCTAAAAAATCGATGTACCAGAGCAGAATAGAACATAATCTAGATTAACGAAGCAATAATAATCATATTCCCCTGAGGTTAACTAATCCTAGTGTTCATAGGTAGAAAGCAATCCATCAAAAGTCTTGTTTTTACTACATGGGCAGAGAAGGCTCTCCCGCTCGATCTACCATACTTTACCCCATTTGAAAACACAACTCGATAAACCTTTAAAGAAAAATAGAGTATCATTATTTTTCCATTTAAGTACATCGAATGGCTGCAGTTGACGGGCAACAAGATCCGGACCTCGGAGCTGGTGGAGGAGCATCTGAAGAAGCGGCGGCGGCCGGATCGCAGCGATGACGACCGTAACTCTTACATTTAACGGCGTACCCTGCCAACTCGGTTCAAGTTTATGACGCGGTGGCGTCTTTGATTGAAAACGGCCAATATCATAGCCGCCAGTAAGGTTAGGAACAGGATTATGATGCTCCAGTTACTCCAAGAGAAGCTTCCAACCGACTGGAGTGGTAGCCGGTGGACAATCGCCTCCGCTATGACGTTGTCCACATCCCATATATAAATCGCTCCGGAAACGAGGAACATAAGGAGGGAGACAATAACGTGGCGCTTATTGGCCCAAAAGAATCGAAAGATGTCGTTGTTCATGGTTAAATAGCTGTGGAAAAACACCTTGAGCAGGAGGAAAAGATTTTAACACGAGCGTTACCTTTCTTTCTAAGCTGATGAGGCAAAATTTTCTTCCAGATGTGAACTGATTCAGTGGACTCCTAGAAACCAAGAGAATAATTTCTATATGGCACCAAAGCACATTGACGTTTAGTGCTGCGTTGCTGAGCACTGTTCTCTTCTATCGATAGATCGCATTTTCCAAAACTTTTAAGTCAAGAGAACTAGTTCATCTACAATTTGGAACTGTATTTTTAAAATACCAAAATACATGAAAAAAAATTAAATAGTTTTAATACGAATTAAATCTTGATGTTGCTAATTACGTAGATATTTCGTAATTGATCCGATTTTTGTCAAATTGAATTCGTAATTCTGAAATAAAAAAAATGATATATACCGGTGGCAAATAAAATAGTCTTAGGACGAACTTAATTGTGATGCTGCTATTCATTTGACCAATGCATAAAACAACAAATTACATGGCTATTTCGAAATTAGTTTGATTTGTATACCCTTGCAGAGGGTATAAAGATTTTTTTATGTATTTTGGTATTTTAAAAACACAGATCCAAATTGTAGGTGAACTAGTTATCTTGACTTAAAAGGTTTGGAAAATGCGATCTATCGATAGAAAAGAACAGTGCTCAACAACGCAGCACTAAATGTCAATGTGCTTTGGTGGCATATAGAAATTATTCACTTGGTTTCTAGGAGTTCACCGAATCGGTTTTTATCTGGAAGAAATTTTTTACTCTACTTTCCGAAGAACGAAGAAAGGTAACGCTCGTGTTAAAATCTTTTCCTCCTGCTCAAGGTGTTTTTCCACAGCTATTTAACCATGAACAACGACATCTTTCGATTCGTTTGGGCCAACAAGCGCCACATTATTGTCTCCCTCCTTATGTTCCTCGTTTCCGGAGCGATTTATATATGGGATGTGGACAACTTGATAGCGGAGGCGCTTGTCCACCGGCTACCACTCCAGTCGGTTGGAAGCTTCTCTTGGAGTAACTGGAGCATCATAATCCTGTTCCTAACCTTACTGGCGGCTATGGTGCTTGCCGTTTTCAATCAAAGACGCCACCGCGTCATAAACTTGAACCGCGTTGGCAGGGTACGCCGTTAAATGTAAGGGTTACGGTCGTCGTCGCTGCGATCCGCCCGCCGCCGCTTCTTCAGATGCTCCTCCACCAGCTCCGAGGTCCGGATCTTGTTGCCCGTCATCTGCAGCCATTTGATGTACTTACATGGAAAAATAATGATAATATATTTTTCTTTAAAGGTTTATCCAGTTGTGTTTTCAAATGGGGTAAAGTAGGGTAGATCCAGCGGAAGAGCCTTCTCTGCCCATGTAGCAAAAATAAGACTTGATGGATTGCCCTCTACCTATGAACGCTAGGATTAGATAACCTCAGGGGAATATGATTATTATTGCTTCGTTAATCTAGATCATATTCTATTCTGCTCTGGTATGTACATCGATTTTTTAGAATGTTTCAGAATTACGAATTATTTTTGATAAAAATCGGACTACCATATCATATAGCTGCCATAGGAAGAATCTCAAGATTAATGTCAAAATAATACAAAATCGTTATATTTCGGGATCAGCAATAGGTTTACGCTAGTAAATTGATATATACCACCATCCTAAAATTTTTGTGATTATTTTTTAATTTTCTAAAAGTTGGTAAGCTCGGTTTCTATACCCTTGCAGGTCGTTTCCATAGGAGCATTGTATATACCATAAAAAGCTTTTCGATTTTTACTACCGTATATGTTTACCGAAAACGATATATAACGGTCAGTGTATTTTTTTGACATTCATTTTTCGATGCTTCCCATGGCTGCTTTTTAATATAGTACCTACACTAAATTATTATTTAAAAATGTTATACACCGGAATTGGATAGAATATGATCAAAACTAAGTTGTAATTATTTATACGATCGTTCCTATGGCAGCTAAAGTATGTAGTTGTCCGATTCGGCTCGTTCCGACTTATATACTACCTGCAGTAGAAATAGGACTTTTGGGAAGGTCTTATCGCGATAGCTTTAAGACTGAGAGACTAGTTCTTGTAGAAACGGGCAGACGGATGCTGATCAAGGTTAAATACTTTATGGGGTCCTTTACTGCATTTCAAACTTCTGACTGAAATCATTATACGCTCTGCGAGGGTATAAAATAGGTCAAATCGATATTCTTGAAAAATATCAAAATGAAATGTTCGTACTATCAATAAGACAGTAATCATATCGGCTTTTTATTGATATAAAATTAGCAACAACTGACCCCCATTTTTTTCTGTGTATGATTCTTCTTTAACGAACGTAAATCGTAATAATTAAAATGTTTTCGAAATGTCCCTAAGTGTGCCGGATATATTGTATCATTCTTTTAAACACCGTTACAAAAGATTACAAAGTTTTAGGGGAAGTTTCTTTCTGAAATAGAATGGGGTTTTTGATTGCTGGGCAACAGTTACTCGGAAAGAGCGAAGTCGATGGCTGGAGAGAGTGGGTGGTTACAGGACTAGGGGTTGGTGGTTGGGTTTTGGGGATTGGGGGTTATTGGGCTAGGGGTTAGAGCAAGACGACAGCCTCAAGTTAATTGCTTAATAGTCGAGACATCAATAAATCAAAGAAAAATGCGCGTAAGCATAAAGCAAAAAGCGGCGTCGACAACAAAGAGAAATGGTTGTTGGGGGCGGTTGGGGCGAGGTGTTGCGGCTGCCTGCGCAAATGTAAACAGACTGATTGATGGCGGCAAGTGATTTATTTATGTTAATGCGAAGGATTCGAAGGGAGAGCGCCAGCGACAGGGCATCAAAGTAAACGAGTGCTGACAGGACTCCCGCAGGAGCATAAAAAGCCAGAAAAATCATCTCTATTTTACAGCACTTTTGGTTCTTTGTTTTATTTACTTCAGAAGGGGTTTAAATATAATAAAAAATGCATTAAAAAGATTAGAAAAATATATTAGAAAATAGTCATTACATTCACCTTAAATTGTATATAAGAGGTATGTACATGTGCGTCTGTGACACTAGATTTTATTTTCATTTCATCATACATTTAGTGCACCTTACTTTATTTTATAATATAGAAAAATAAAAATGACTGAATTTTTTTTAAATTTTACCATAAATTAGCTTAATGTGTTTTACAAAATACAGTATAAAAACTAAACAGTTGGGATTAAGCATGTAGATTCTAGAGATTCCTGCGCAGAGGAAGTTTGTTTTAGCAAAGTGCCACGCCCACTCTAATGCCCATAACGTCTAGTCTGTATGGCACCCAGATTTTTAAAGATTTTCTTTCAGTGCAAACTGAAATTGATTTTATTGATTATTTATCAAAACCTATCTAGATCCTGAGAATCATACAAATAGCATTTTTATTTTAAAAGGCATAGCAAATTAAGTTAAGCTTACTTCCCAAGGGATAATCAAAATGCCCTGGAATTTTATTTTATTTAAAACTGAGTAACGGGTATCCGATGGTCGAGCACTCGACTATAGCGTTCTGAGTTGTTTTATTATTCTATTACTAGAAGTTACACTAGTCACGCATGATCTATTTATACTTAATGAGTTAATAGAAAAGGAGTTGGTGGAACACACTTATTACTTAAAGGCTTAACATGTTTTGCTCTTCAGCAGAATTTTGATAGAACAATATCGAGGTTTTGGCGGGAAAAAGGACAAGCTGGTAGCTCAGAGATGGGAGTGGGACCAGAGTGAAGCTTATCGTTCGTAGGGCTCCCACCCAAATCCAAGATCCAGGCCCATTCCGTTCCCATTTCGCGGGCACTTTGGTATTTTCACCTGCGACATTTGTCGCTGTACGTGATTTCGAGCGACGATTAATCAACTGCGTGGGCGCCGGCGGGAAAAAGAGATGAACTCTGCCACTCCGGCGATTACAAAGGCACACGCACGATTCCTATGACGATGTTTCGCTAACTCAAAAAAAGTGGAAACGCCATGGTCGTGTGCCTCGACTATTAGATACCCGTTGCAATTAATTTCAAATTACTTACGCCTCCAGAAGTACATACTATATATATATGGGGCCAGGAGCAATCCCATTGGGGTGGGAAACCATGGAAATGACGTCACTGACCATGTAAGACCGAACCTAAAATGGTCTACTTCGAAAAACCTTTGGTATTTGGTATATTATAACGAATAAAATATATGCAGTAGAGCAGGAGAGAACCTATAGTCGAGTGCCTCGACTATCAACTTACATATTTAACGTATTTACTAATTCTGAATATAAATTTCGCTTCTATTCTACGAGTAACGAGTATAAAAATTCAAAATTCTGCAATATTAAAATAAATCTCTACCCCCGAAAAGAAGAATAATATGTTCAAAGACAACGAAGCTATAATTTTATTAATATTATTTTCTTATTAATTTTCCCATCGTTGTTATGGCAGCTGTATGTAGTCCTCCGATTAAAATAAAATTGTATTGAAAGTTCTGAAAACTTTTAAAAGAGCCTTACTCCAGAGTAGAAGAGATTAGGATCGAAAACAACGAGGCTAGAATTTTGTTTCTAATATTTGTCAGATAATTCCTATGGTATCTTTAAGATGTACGATCCGGCTTGATCTATAACCTGTCTGCAATAAAAAGAAATCTTTTGGGAAAGTCTCATCCCGACAGCTTTAAAATTGAAAGACAACAGAGTACATTGAAAATATAAGTCTGTATTCGCTGTTAAAACCAAAACCGCTGTAGTTAAATAACAAACTGAATAGTTAACTAAATAACATTTTTAAAATCGGGCCATTCCACAGAAAACCTCTTTCGGACGACTTGCATATGAAGGCACACAATTAATGCAAATGAATACTTGAAATTGTTAATTTGGGAAGCTTGATCGAATGGCTAAGATATACGATGCCAAAATTCTGAGGGACAGCCAGGCGACAAGAAAGACATCAAATGAATTTTAATACGCGCCAGGGGAGCCGTCAATAATTAATTGGGCGAATGGCCAGAGGCGAGGCCGAAGTTTTCGGGTCTCTCGTCTTGTTATTTTATTGTCGGAGCTTCAATAATTGATTATTGCGAAATGGACTGCGGAAATGGGGCAAGTTCATTCAATAATAATACCGATTCGCCAGCGACAACTT